GAGCTCCTCCAGCGTCTTCGTCGTCCGCAAGGACCAAGACATCTACGTACAGACCTTGCGCAAGCTCTTCAACGAGTCGCACGGCATCTTCATCGGCCTCCAGAGGAGCGAGGAAGAATTCGCCGGGAAATCCAGGAAAACACAGTGAGTGGAGCGTGGTTTCGAAGTGCTGAGAACAAAGGTCGTCCTCGTTCTTTCGTCTGCCTCCAGGGACGATCAACCTGCACTACTTAGAGCCGCTGTCAATCAGAGACCTTGCGCAAGCTCTTCAACGAGTCGCACGGCATCTTCATCGGCCTCCAGAGGAGCGAGGAAGAATTCGCCGGGAAATCCAGGAAAACACAGTGAGTGGAGCGTGGTTTCGAAGTGCTGAGAACAAAGGTCGTCCTCGTTCTTTCGTCTGCCTCCAGGGACGATCAACCTGCACTACTTAGAGCCGCTGTCAATCAGCGATAACAGTGCAGTATAAACAGCTGTTGGGGGACAATTTTACACAGCGTGGCCCTGAGGCTCTGCTGCGCAAGGCCTTTACCTGTGCGTAGCGTGTATATAGTCAGCGCCTCCCGCCTTGCCACCTTCCACCAGCTTTGCCCAAGTAGAGGAAGAATCTACTCGCGCAAAAAAACCCTGCAGACAAAAGAAAACTTTAGCAGACAACAGCCATAGACCTAAAACTCAAACAGCTCTTCCTAAACGTGGTCTTTTTATGCTTGGCAGATTGGTTCAAGTGAGTAAAAACTACCGCTCGGTCATAAGAGCCTGTATGGAGGACATGCACCAGGCAGCTGGTAAGTTTGCTTGTTTGTTTTCCTACTGTGATAAAAAGAAATGCTATCTGTGAGTGTAAAAATAACAATGCAACTGTAAGTTGTACTGCTTTACTGAGATTTTTTGCACTATGTTTTAATTGATCGGGGGGGGGGAATTTGCTTCCTTTTCATCTCTCTGGTTGCAGTTTTATGGGAAACAGGCCAAATTAGCAGCTTGCTGCCAAAAAAGTGAGAAATGTTACTCCTCCCTTTCATCCTTGTCCTGTAAATATATCAGATTTGTGGGAAAAAAATTACAAAGAGATGTAAAAGGTTATCCTTTGTCAGGCATGTACTCATCTAAGGCTATGATTGGTGAGTGACCAGGACTGTTTATCAGTAAAGGGTGGTGAAAGAAGGTAAATGCGTTGTTTTGTGACCTTCCTTATTTTTCCCTCAGTTTCAGCTCGGGACCCTGCCCTGCACAGCCAGTATAGTACTCAGGTAATCCGCAGTCATGTCTGCACAGTCACAACTGAAGAGGAACCGTTGGCTAGCAAAGTCGTCAAGGCCGACACTGTTGCAGTAATGCGTTTTAGTTGCAGCTCTGGCTTAGTGTATTGAATACAGTACGTGAGCAAGAATACATGGGTATAAATAGTTAGCACCTGTATTTCTAAAACAGTAAAAAGATGCCCAACATTGGGATATACTGCCATTTCTTAAATGTGTATTCAGCCTTACAGGTGTGATGTTTTCTTGCCATCTAAGAAATCCAGCTGTGGGCCAGTACTCACCTGGCTGAAACCTCACTTCTCAAATGCTGAAGTTCCCAACAACTATGTTTGAGCCTTGTAGCAAGCTCTGGAAGTACACAGTGGACTTTCAGACTCTTAGAATAATGTTGTGGGAAGAACAGCGCTCACAGAAGCATTGTCCTATTAGCAGCACTGATGTTGCTTAATTGGCCTTTCTTTGCAATCTCAAATGCAAACGTAAATTATTTTTATAAAACAAAAATGAATGCTGTTTGTAACGTTAAATCTTAGGAGCGCAAAGAGGCTGAAAATAACAGTTCCTCTGCTATTTTAATCTCCCACTAATGACAGATTATTATTGTGTTTGAATACACAAACCGCTGCAGTATTTTCTAAGGTGAATGTGAATAGAGAAGTTGTGGCCTGCTTCTGTCTTTTAATTTAGATTTCTAAAATATAAGTAGCGTGTTTCTCTTGTCTCTAAGAACCAAGCTGAATTGAGCAATTGCTATGGGCAGTAAATGCCTTTGTGCAGTTGAAAAAAAAGAACACTATTGTAATAATTACTAAGTCTGAAACGCGTCCCTGCTTTTTTCAGGTTTCTATTCTTTCTGCGATGGAGCTGATCTGGAACTTGTGTGAGATCCTGTTTGTTGAAGCAGCTGTAGGTGAGCAGTGAACTACCCTTGATGTTAAAATTGAAGGGCTTTTTGTTTGCCTATTCATTTGTTTAAAAAGTGTATAGCATCCATTGTATCATATCTTAATATCTTTTTGGAAATATTAATGACAAGTATCAATAAGCTCTTTAATACCTTTTCTGCTTTGGCAAATTGTCTTCTACATCTTGAATTATGGCAAACTGTTAGATTTGTCTTCTATTTTTTTCCCCTCACACCTAATAAACTATGAATTGGCTTTTTTTGCAAAAAGATAATGGAGAACAGTGATAACAACATTTGTTGTCACTTTATTTGACTTTTAAGCATAAACACATTTTTAAGTATCAGCTGTGTAAGGTGATATAAGGTAACACACATTCTCTGGTCCAACTCCTTTAACTTTAGGATGTTGTCTTTGAATTCAGTTTGCTTATATCAGCACTTTAAAGAAGGAAATGATCAGAGTATGCAAACATATGCTATCTACTCAGTTCCTGAATTCAGATGAGAGGTTCACAAATGTAGATTATTAATGTGAAGAAAAGTTAATTACCTTGTGCCTCATATCCAGTTAATGAGAGGATGATAAATGAAATGAAGAAAAACACTGTATATGTCTTTTGCAAGATCTGTGATCTGAGTCACTCACCTGTTGTGTCCTAAAGTTGGGGATTCTTAGATAAGAGTCCTTCTTACAGCTTCTTGTAGGAAGCTATTATAGATGGAGTCTTCCTCTTCTGTCTGAAACTTGCCACATGTAATTTTGTCAGCAGTCTAGCGCTTCCATGGCCTGGCTACTTAAGGATCTCCGTCCCTTTGTAATATGAGTGAGGCAGATAGAAATCTGATCAGTAAGCCTCATCTAATGGTTGTCAGACCATATTTCATATGTCGGAAGCATATGAAATAGCAAGCAACATAGTTGGGAAGTAACAGAATGATACCTTCTCTGCATAAAGCTGGTCCCCTCCTGCTTCGCCTCCTTGACTGGGTTCGACTTCATGTCTGTGATGTAGACAACATGGTCCGTGAAGTTCTGAGCAGTGAAAATCCATCAAAACACGAGCTCTTCTGGAATGTGGTGAGTAAAGCCATCTATAAGCTTCCTAGATGAAGAGATTTCACCTTTATCTGCTTTGCCTTCCTCCTCCCCACTTGACAGTGATCCCACGTCTCAAGTTGATACATGGGATACTGCTACTATCTGCATATATAGTTTTAAGATGAAACCACTGTGAAGATCATACTGCCCCTTGTTTCTAGCACAGTCCTCTCATTTCAGATTCACAGAGGCCACGACTTGTACTGTGTATTTGAATTAACAGAGCCTAAAGTTTAAGCATTTTAACTTCACTTATATTGTCTAAATCACAAGTTAAAATTCCCCTCTGATACGCCAGCCGGGTATTTTGTAGCTTGCACAGTGCGATGCTCACAAACAGGTGTTTTTTTGCAGGTGGATGTCTTTGTGCTGCAAGGCCGAATGGATGAAGCGCGGCACTTACTCTCTAAGGAAGCCAGTGCCAATCCCACGTCAGTGCACATGTGCAGAATCTTGGATGACTTAATGAAGAAGATGCCTGTGCCCAGTGTATGTACAAAGCAGTTTTTCATGCAGTTCTGTTGGGAAATAAAGTTTGAGGGCTGACACTGTTTCATCTCCACCGTGGCTCCTATAACATCACAGCATGTTGACCATTAAAGTATCTCAGTAGTAACATTTGCATTCTTGAATTGTCCAGAAGACCCAACTATACAGGAAAGAACCGTTAGGTTAAAAAACAACATTGCCAGAAAGATCACTTTTGCAGCAGGAGACATTGTCCGTTTATCTGCAACGGTTCCTGTTGAAAACTTGTTCACAGTCTTGCAGAGAACATTCCTTGAAGACTACCAACAGCGTTTCTCTGTTACAACGATGTCCTTGTGGAGGAAAAATTGTAGCTGTATCACTGTAGTTGTTTTGTTGGTTCTCGTACAGTCGGTCACTTTGCCTTATTTAGATGGGTAAAGGAAAACACTTGGTGGCAGCCCACTGTTTAGCTTTTTAGCATGAATGGCTGGATGAGTTGAGCCAGTGCAATTTGACTTGACGTTTCCTTTACCTTTTGTGCGTACATCTTGTGTTCAGCTTGGCAACACCCAGACACTCACCGAGATGGAGCTGAAATGGCAGCACTGGCATGAAGAATGTCAGCGGTATCTACAGGACAGAACTTTTGCTTCCAATTCCCACATGGAATCCATCTGCAAGGTGCGTTTTGGCTGACACAGAAGGAGACTCTGGATGAGTGTCCATCCTTTTGTACTTCAGGAGTCCTGTGTAGTCATAAATGACTTTGATATGCTAGACGATCTGTTCATTAAATCATAAGATTTCAGGCTCAGTACTGCATTCTTGGATTTTCCACAGACTTTGCAAGCCTGGGCTGATCGCTTTCTCTTCCTGTCCCAGACCACATTGGTGATTAGGAAACTGAGCTCTGAGAAGGAGCTTTGTCCTTTGCTGTTTAATTTTGATCCCATTATGAACTTTGCAAAATGGGAGTAATGTCCCTGAAGAGTTAAGATGCAGCTACTTACATTGCTGTATTGGCAGAGTTGCTCTCATGTTTTTTCTCCCATCAGATCTTGCTGGGTGATGAGAATGCCATACTGGAGAAAAAGGACCTCATGACTACTTGGTACCACTTTCTGGTTACCCGACTCCTCTACTCCCATCCCACTGTGAAGCCAATGGAACTGCGTTTCTATGCACAGGCATGAAATAGAACTCTTTTTATATCCGCCACAGTTTAATGCACAAGGGCATCTGTATTTAAAACAAAACAGCTTTGGGAGGATTGACATCTTACAGTCTTACCCATGAGATTTTCCCTAGAATTTGGAAGTGGACTGGGAGACTGATACTACAGGCAAAACATTGAGGACTGACTCTCTTGAGTGTCTAGTGTTACCAGTCTTGTTTCTGCAAACTGTTTTCCCAGCTTCCTTACACTACAATATTTTCTTTTCTGTTAATCTGTTTCCATCTTTAAAGCATATTCTTTCCCACAAAATAGCCTAAATGAAGCTGTTGCAACCAAACAAATGTCTTCCTTTATACCGTCTCACAATTTTTTCATTTATCATGTCTTGTTATCTTACTCCACAGTCTAGTATGGACCTGTTCCTGGGTGGAGAAAGCAGCCCTGAGCCTCTAGACATCATTTTAATGGCAGCCTTTGAATTCGAGATGCATCAAGTGATCAAGGAATGCAGGTTGAGTTTTAAGGTTTTTGACTGTCTAGTTTTATGGTATTTCTTCTCCGTGACTTCACTCCAGAAGTCACGGGGATCCCAGTGTACTTGTCTGTACCCATACTCTGTACCCCCACTGGATCATCCTTTTAAAGAACTCAACAAGAGCATGTGAAGCAGGCTGCAATTAAAAGTATTCCATTAAGTCTAGGACATTGCAACCAGCCTTTACACAGTAATGTCCTATGACAGTAAAAAAATGCCTGTGGAAAAACCTGACCTACTCCTTGGCGGTTGTAGGCTTAGCTTTTTCTTTCTTTTGCTTGCTTCAAATTTAGCATTGCCCTCAGCAACTGGTGGTTTGTGGCTCATCTGACTGACCTCCTGGATCACTGTAAACTCCTGCAGTCTCACAATCTCTAGTAAGTGTTTCTGGGTGTCTGAATAATCAGTGCAAATAAACAAGAATAACTGAAACAGCACGTGGAGTTTCATTGAAAAGGGGCATGTTGGGCATTTGCAGAAAATGGAAAATAAAAGTGCTGCATGTGCCCATGAGGTTACAAGCAGCCCAGATGTTCTGAGGAGCAGAAGCAGTTGCTGACCTGATGAATTTGACATGCTATTTCAGCAATGCCTCAGTGCAAAGTTGGTGTTTTTTTTTTTTTTAAATGTATAATTTCAGCTGAAATATAATCAAGGGCCCAAACATTTGTGATTATTGGGTATGGTGAGAAACTTATCTAAAAAGAGTTTTCATACTCATGTGTTTTAAAAATTTAAATTTGAGCAATTGAATGTTATCTGAATTCTCTTGAAGTTTCAGTTGCTTAAAGCACTCACTGCTGCTTGTAAATCATCTTTGCTAAGTGCTGTAAATAATTGGCAGGCCTTCCGAAGGAGAAAGCTGCCCTACGTGCTTAGGCCTGAGGTATGAAGCTTATTAAGATAGCCCATGAGAAAATATGTTATCTAAATGAAAAATATGTTTGAAATAATTCAGCAGGTGCAAATAAAAATGCTTGTGACTTTCATTTTTTGTTTTTTTTTTTTTTTCCAGTTTTGGTTCAAACATGCGTGAATTCCTTCTACTAGAGTATGCCTCCGGACTCTTCTCCCATCACAGGTAGCAGCTCTCCTCTGCTCAGAGGCTAGACTTAACATCAAGGTAGCCAAAGCAAATAACTTAATGTTAATAAAGTAAACAGGCAAAACTCAGTGAAGGGGCTATTAAGATTTCAGCAAAGTTATCCCTAAAGGATTGTACAACACTAAGTTTTCTTTCCTGAATTAAAGACAAAAACTATCTATAAAAACCCATCAAGCATATTGACTAGGATAGAATTGTTCCTTCCTCTGTGGCTTTTTTGGTACAGAGCAAATTGTACTAAACCACCTGTGAGATGCAGGTATTCCAGAGTTGTTAAAAGAGGCAACTAGTATTTCATACAAAGTAAAACCATTTCAGATGCAATTGCTAAGTTAATCAGAGCTGACCCTTATTAATCAAGACTCAGGTCTTCCTTTTGACTTAAATAAGCACAGCATTAAAGTCTTATGTGATTGGAATGCTTGACTTTTCTTCTCTCTCTCTCTCTCTCTCAGTCTGTGGCAGCAGGGGGTAGATTACTTTGACCACTGTCCAGAATATGGGAGGGTTTATTTGGAGCTGCATATTGAGCGGATACCCCTTAACACAGAACAAAAGGCTCTCAAAGTGCTGAGGATCTGCGAGCAGAGACAGATGCATGAACAAGGTGGTTGATTCTTGAAATCGCTTTGTTTATAGTGATGTAATTGAAACTACTGAAACTGATTCTTTCTTTCCCTCTTCTCCTGTGCCTTTCGCCCAAGTTCGTAGCATCTGTAAAATCATGGCCATGAAAGCGCTGCGGAACAATCGCTTGGGCTCTGCCCTGTCTTGGAGCATCAGAGCTAAGGATGCGGCTTTTGCTACACTAATATCAGACAGGTGAGTTTAAGTCAAGCTCTCAGACGGCTGCTGCTACAGTGGGACTGTAGGAATGGGGAGAAGGTGGCCATCCTGAAAAGGTCCTGCGGTAGGCAGACTGAGACTCGTTTCCCTCAGACCAAGCACCTGCTTCTGGAGTAGAAAATAACATCATTTGGCACTTTCATCTGCAGCACCTTAACTATTTCTTTTCTACCCCTTTTTACTCTGTCAGATGCAGAGATGAAACAAGTTGACTTCATCTAACAAGCCAGTCCTCCTAAGCCTTGCTTTGATAAATGTTTCTTTTGGCAATAGCTCTGCCTCACGCACTCCCCTTTCACTCGCTCCAGTACAGTCGTTTGATGCACTACACAGTGAACTAGGGAACTAACTTGGGTGAAAGATAATCCCTTTCTGTGCTTTATTCAGCAGATCATTTTAAACCAATCCAGTTCACCATACACAGTCTCCAAACAAGTCAGTGGGAGCTGTTTAGGACAGCATTTCTGCAAAAACACGTTAAATCACAGTTATACTGTATGTAACAGAGTAAGGTTTCACTGAGTCCCTGGTTTTGAATAAACTTGTCACACTATTTGACCTTGAAGGGATGGGAAGGTTGTTATCAAGTAGAAGAAGATGCTAATGCTTAGCTTAGACCTAGATGAAAAAATATAGGCTTTATTCCAGACTTTCTTTAGGCTTTTTAATCTCTAACAACGCATGTAATGTATTTTTTGCTAATTGGAAATAGGCAGGTATCAATCTGTTTGCATAGTTAAGAGTATAATTTTGAAATTACATGCTGGATAGAAGGCCAGGTAATAGTCAGTCTTAAATAGTGAAAAAAGGAGTAATGAGAGATTGCTGGGTTTTTTTCTGTTTTTTTTTTTTTCTTTGAGGGAGTAAGAGCCATTATATTTCCTTCACCAGAAGGTGAAAGAAAACCATCACAGGAAGCAGATCCTGAAAAAAGCAGCATAATGAAGACTCTGCCAAAACAGACAAAAAGCTTTTAGGGCTTCATTTGCTCCTGCTGCTTATCAACTCTTTTACACACCAGAAAAATGGAGCTTTTGTTATGATGTGGGAGTGTTGTTTGTGCATCCCCCAGCTTCAGCTTCCTGTGCTCCTTCTTTCACTTTTTCCTTTAAAGAAAAAATCTCAACTACCACAAAACCTAGAAGAGTAAATAAACTATCTGTTAGACACACATTACACCAGCTCATTGGCTGCTCCCAGGAAATGTTTTGATGTCTTCTGAAGCCCTCGGAGGTGGCTGATTAAAATGGAACTCAGTTCCATTGCGAAGTTCTCAGAGAAAGGATTAGGAGATACAAAATGAACGTGGAAGATACTCCCCCTCCAAGCTTTTATTGTGTTTTACTTTCTCCTCAGATTCCTCAAGGATTATTGTGAAAAGGGATGCTTCTCTGACTTAGACCTCATTGATAATTTGGGACCATCCATGCTTCTCAGTGACCGTCTGACATTTCTTGGTGAGAATTGCCCAGTTTTCATTCTGTCCTGTTATTTAGAACATTCCTAACTCTAAACAACTATTTGGACTTGTCTCTTCTTCCATCTGGCTACATTCTGTTATAGGTGATGAGGGGACAGCAAATGACTGAAAGTGAGCTGGGACACAGCCTGCTTGCTACCCAGAGACTGCATTTCCAGTTGCACTCACAGCAGGCATCTGTTTGGTGCATCTTTGAGCAAGACAGTTCTGAATTCTGACATTCATACGCTTCCTCTTTCTTAGTCTCTTTCTAGTCTGTATCACTGCCTAGTGACGCTTTCTTTGAAACATTAGTGAACGCAATCTGGAAGACTTGGGGGGGGGCAGGGGAGGCACTGGTTTCAGTTCTTTTGGTGACTTGATAATTTTACTAGCTTCATAAAGTTCTTTAAAATGTTCTACAGTTCTTCTTGGTTCAGTGTGCCAATATCAAGCTCACTCAAACAAAAGATCTCTCCTACTCTTTCACTATAGCAATTGTGCTATGTAACAGTGGAAGGCCTCCATCCAGTTTCCTTTACATACCACAACTTCCTTCTCCTGGCTGGCACAAGCATAGGCTGCAGTAATCTGCCCATCTGTTTGCAGCTACTCTGTGGCCTTTGATGATTAATGGACCAAGACAGGAAACAGAGCTGAAGTGCACCTTTCCCTGCAGCCATGGCACTTAGTAACCCCAAATACTTGGCCCATCATCTAATGGGAATATAGAATAGCTGTTGGCAATTGGACTGATTCTCTTCTGGCTGACAACAGCTTTACAGTGAGGGTAATCCTAAAGGCTAGTGTGTTCCCATTTGGTCCAGGCTTGCAAAACTGGAACTGTATTGCCTTCATTTGAACTATCCTAAATTAAGTCTAGAATAACTGTAACTTTTGGAAATTGATATTCCCTCATCACTCCCTGTGCACGATGCCACCCAGCAACTCTTGCATGAGCCCCAGAGTTGTAGTTTAATTGTGAAACCATGATTATTTAAAAGTGACTTCCCTTCCTGCTTTTTAATAATAATTCCTGGAAGGCCTCAAGTACTTCTGCTCATTTTTCTCTTTGGAGATTTTAGAAACATCAGGTATACTCTTGCTGGACATCTTGCAGATGTCTCTGTCTGGAGCTCAAGCATTAATCAAAGGGGAATCTGAATGGGAATCGTTACTTCCAGCTATTTTGACGGTTTAGTGGATATAAACAAACACCACAGACTAAAACCCACTTTCATCTTCAGCCAGTTTTCATGTACTGGCTATTGATCTCACTGATTCATAGCGAAAGCAGAATTTTCCATATTAACAAAAGATCTCAGTTTCCATATAAACAATCAGGAAGCTTATGAAGCCTTTCAGGCCTTATGATATTCTGAAGTATCAAAAAGAACATTCGTCCCTTCTCCTCTCCCCTCCCATTTCTGGTTTTTGCAGACACCAGCAGTCTCTCTCTCTCTAAGCCACTCATGCGGTTGCTCACCCTGCAAACCCTCAGCACCACACTGAGAAACTGGAGACAGTATCAGTTAGTTGACAGGCTGGTTCAAGCAGTAAACCTTACCAATAACAATAAGAGGCTTTCTGCTGCCTTTTCAGCCAGCCTCTCTTTTAACCTTTCTCGAGGCACACGATTCCAGCTTTCCCAATCATCTAGGCTCAGCTGTTTTGAGGATTCATTTCAATTGAGGGTAATTCTACCAAGTTTCATGAGCGCAAACCAGCCTCAGAACATCCTGTAACCTAGGCTTGTGCTATTCTGATGGCCACTAATGCCTTATACCCTTCACCAACACCCTGTGCATAGGGAAGTACCGAGAATTCCACCGGCTGTATGGTGAGAAGAGGTTCTCTGAAGCTGCCAAGCTGCTTCTGATGTTGATGACTGCTCATATTGCTCCTTGCTCCTTCTGGATGACCCTGCTGACAGATGCCCTTCCCCTGCTGGAGCAGAAAGAGGTGAGCATGTTGGTCAGACACCCTTTCTTCCAGACAAAGTATCTCAAGGTATCGACCCCTTTCTGCCCCCCAAGCTAGGACTTGCACTTCCCAGTGCAAGTGAACTGTTTATGAGAGTTCAAGAATTGCATAGCTCGCCAAATGTCTTATCAGTGGGAGCAAAAAAAGGAGCCCCATGTACTATCACGAGATACCCATTTGAATCCAGGATAGGATAATCAACTATTAATTCAGTTCTCACTTTTAGGAAAATAGCAGTAGAATACACATATGCTGATGATTTAAGTGTGCTGCATCCAGTTTCTTCTGGTACCTAGCTTGGAGATTGTTCTAGTGTGCTGCCTTCTGCTAAGTTGCATTTTGCTTTTAAGAGCCATCAAGAAAAGGGCAGTTCAGTAATCATAAACCCATGACTGCATAAAGCCTAGAGAAACCTGCTCTGACCTCCTGGCTGACCCTGCTTTGTACGGGAGCTTGGACTTCCTGCGATCCCTTTCAACTGAATTATCCTATGATCCTATGGTTAGAATGGATCTGTGGCAGTGTGAAAGCATTCTCCTCCCCTCAGTTGAGTTATCTTCTCAGACTGTGTGATGTTCTGAAACTCAGTCATTTTCAGTAAATACTTTTAATTTCCACAGGTCATATTTTCAGCAGAGCAGACTTACGAATTGATGCGATGTCTGGAAGACTTGACAGCAGGGAAGTCAGATAAGCAGAAATTCCAGGTACTACCTCTTTCAAGGGCAACTGGCTAGTGAATCAATAGGGCTGTCTAGGAGTCAGGGAAAGCAAGCCTTAACTTTCTATTCCTGCACTGAGGCAGAAAAGACAGAGAGCATGAGGTACTGAGGCTGGTACGTGTTGTTATTTTTAAAGGCTGGCCAAAGGAGGCATCATCCTAACGTACTTTACTTAAATATACACAAAAGCAGTACAAGACTGCTTCTACTCTTCCCTGTTCTGCTGCTTTGGATTGCATTATGATGCTTTTCCAAGATAAATAATTGCATAATTACATGAGCAATGAAAAGCTTGAGATGCTGCCACCTAACAGCTCAAGCTATGAAATGTTCCAGGCACAGAACAAACAAGGAGCCATTTGCTACACATGCAAACCTCTGCAGTTGCCAGAAACAGAAAAGGCTTAGTGGATCTGCCTTGTGTTGATCTAAAATGTAGGAAACACAGGTTTTTACTCTCTTCAATAAGTCCTTAGCTAAAATGCACTCTTCCCTCATGAGTCTAAAACCTAGAGACAAACAGAACTTATCAGGTCATTACTGTGTGTAATAGTCTACCTCCAACGCTGCTTATTTTTAGGATGACGACGTTGAGACTATGAAAGTGGAAATGCTGAGACTTGCTCTTGCACGAAATCTTGCACGAGTCATCGTCAAAGAAGGCACATTGGAAGGATCTTGAAGAAAGCAATGTGTTATTTTATTCTTCTTCTGTGGTTCACTGTACATAAACCTGACTGCTTTTCTAAGAATAAATGTCTTGTTTTGCATATTGCTTGGTGATTTGTTCTTGTCTTCTGTAAATATAATTTTAAAACCCTTAAAGATAACTTCTAAAAACCAAGCTGCATCAAAACATTAAGGTTGCTTGCTCAAAGTTGGACTGGCAACCTTCCCATTGTAAAGCAAGTCTCATTAGCAATGGCAACATAACCTTTGGTTTTTTCAGTTGCATTGCCTCTAGTATCCAGAACTGAATTTGTGCCTACCTTTTAAATTGCTGGGGTTTTAGAAAACAGCAGCTTTGGCCCTTATGGTTAGTCTAGGTGGTCTTGAGATGATGGGTTGAGTTCGAGGCCCTTTCTGGACACCTAGTACTTCACAAGCAATCATTACTAAGGCCAGCCACGGAGCAAAGTAGGGAAACCAATTTATTTAACATGCAGCAGAACAAATGCATTTGAGACATATTTACAGTACGGCTGTTCGGTATGAAGCTGGAACCTCAACCTACAAACAAGTAACATTTCATGATTTAATTTCCAAAGCTTGTAACAATGCATTGCCATAGGGCAAAACAATAGGATCTTTCCATTTTGCTTTGCTGCACAGGCAATGCACTGCCATTTACACTGAGAACAAAGCCATTCTTCAGAAAGCACTTGTGCTCTTCTGACTTCCTCAAAGTCACAGTGAGATTCACGTGTAGGCATTTAAAGCAGTGAAACCTGCTTCCTAAGGACACACTACAGCACCTGGGCAGATTTAAATGATTTAAGCAATACCCCTAGGCTTACTGTGTCTAAAGTGCGGGCAAGAACATGTCTGAGGCAGAAAGAATTCTTTCCTTGTCCCCCATCCTATTCCATCACTTTAAAACTGCTGCTTTCTTTGAGGATCCACAAGACCTAACCATCCTTCTTGCCTGCTTTCTACTTCAGGGAGCTGACAAGGCTGTAATCCTTATGAGCTTCAGCCCAAGAGTTTACAGCAAGTTCCTTGGCCAAGCTTTGACTTTATCTTCAGGGCTACAGCTCTGCCTGGAGCTCCTGACTAGGTCCTCAGGCTTTCAGTCCACTGAGTTTTTGACTTCTAGTGTTTTTAACTTGTCATCAGTGAAGAAAATTCAGCTGCTGTAAACATCCGCCTAAGACAGCTAGAAATAACTCGGAGCTGTATTTGTACTAATAGGTTTTATAGCCTCCATTAATTCCAGCAGCATTTTCTCCTCTGGAGTTTTCTTCCTACAGTAGGCAGGGGGTCTCCTCCTGCGTATTGATTTTCTTAGCGCTTTGACTGCTCCTGTTCATAGTCATAAGAGCTGCTGCTTGACAGCACTGCTGGAAGTACTGAGCGTAGTCAGTGTCCAAGGACCCAGCCCTCCTGTGCTTTTGTCAAAAGATGTAAAAAAAAAAAAAAAATGAGACCGGAAATTGAAAGGGAAAAGGAAGGGCTCACCGGAATCAAGTTTCAGTGATTTAAACCTAGTTTCTGGGTGACTGTTAGCTAGAGGGAGCTCAGGTCTTCTGCCCCCTTTTAGCATAGAATACTAGTATCCAGCAAAACAGCTTTCCCCCTTGTGGAGACAATTGCACTTAGCCACTTAATACAGGGAACAAACAAAACAGGGTATTAAACCCAGCACATGCACCATCACAGCCCACTGGAGCCGTCTTTCCTTTCACTGTCTGCTTGTTTCTATTTAGACATTCTATAGCTCTATTATTTACATCTTGTATTTCATTGTACTCATGTCAATAGAACACTGTTCAACTACAATAATAATACTGCCTGTATGAGGGGACGTGAGAGGCCTCTCTCCTTATCCCTGGATTCAGTCGCTGCACCTGATTAGCGGTTGCAAAGACTCTTCTGCACTCTGGGTGCTGTCCTCCACCAATACTGACTGCTACTTTCCAGCCCTGTTGCGTTTACCTCCTCACTACACATTTCCTCTTTTCCCCACACCATGGAATGCAATGAAGGCAGAAAAATAACCAGTGCAGCCAACTGCATACAAACTAGGCCCAGCTGCCCAAAACGGATACAACAGGGGGGCAGCTAGCAGTATAAAATAAAAACATCAACTAAATATACAGCAGCATCACAGAACACAGAGCTAGGGTCTGCTTACATTGGCTGTTGGGAGTGAAACAGAGGAGGGAGCAAAGTGCCATTTCAGTGTAAAAAATAAGCATTTCCTCATGGAGCCAGCATTATTGCTCAACATGCTTAGCTGGTCCAGCCTGGCACTGAGGAGGTAAAAGTCCTAGGGGGAGCAAGAGAAAGGGCTCTGCACTGAGGAAGCTCATGGTGGCATCATTACCCTACCAGCCTCTAGGTATCTCTGGACAGCAGTACAGGAGTGAGCCAACTAAATCCCCTTCTGTTGACAGGTCTCCCCTCAGAATACAACAACTTCAAGTCTACTTGAGCGGAAGATAGAACCAGATTCACCCAGAGGCCAAGAAAAAAGCAGCCAGCACTGCCTGTTACTGGTTGCCACTCAGTTCATGCGTGGCATAAATTTCCCAGGACCCCTTCAATGTGGGGTAAAACATTCTGGACTAAAGCTACAAGCAGAGTGGTCAGGACATGTAAACAAAGCTGAACATCACCAGTGGATAGCATGTGTGTCCCTCCCCATGTCACATTCATTCCAGTCCTGTGGGATCCCTTCCTGGTCCTGTCACGGAGTCTCTGGCAGTGTCCTAGGGTCATAGATGCCCCCACTGCTCTACCGGGGGAAACTGATCCACTTCGCCAACCTCTGTGCTGGGCTGGTCTCCCAGCGTGAAGGTAAGTCTGTATCTCAGTCTCACTTTCTCCTGCAGGAGAGACAAAAAGCAAAGAGCAACATGAGAACAGCCTCAGTTGTTCCTAAAGAAAGCATTTGACTGTAATAGGTCTACAGAAACCCCAAGAGTGCTGCTGAACATAGCAGGGGAAAGAGGACCAAGGAAAGTTCATGGACTATTTCCAGCCACTTAGCAAACCTGAGTTATTTACCTATTTTTAAACCACAAGAGCTTTATTGTTAGAGTAAAACATCAGGAGAAAAGCATAAACGACCTGCAGTAGTAGTGTGTCATACGTATGTGGCCCATCACCATTGCTCAGCTGCTCTGCAGTGAGCCTGAAGTACATGCTTTAATGCTGCTGGAATAGTTTGACATCTTCAAAAATCAAACTCCTCATCATGTGCAGGAAAGACAAAACACAACAGTTCCTGCTCTGAGAGTTCCCAGTAAACAGTTAAGAGATGAAACCAGTCCTTCGATGGAGGATCGCCACATGCTTCACAACGGGAAAGTTTTTCAGCAAGCGCCAAACCTATCTGACATCTAGCATTTTGGATCTCACAACTTTCAGCCATGAGGCCCTTTTGTTGTAATGCTCAAGTAGTATCATCTATATGTGTTGAATTAAAAATTACTTGAGCGTACAACTTTCAGCTTTATGGAGCAGGCTACTTCAATGAATAACTATAGCAAGAGTTTCCAAGAAAAACACTTCTGGCACAGCTACCCAAATGTTTCCACAGCACGATCAGCAGACAGGAAAGGTCCTTGTTTCACTGGTGACAGGCACCTCTCATAACATCTCCAAGAATAAGGGGAAGAACATGACTTGACATTAGTCTATTGGTTCAGGTCTGTCAGGCTACAGCCTCAATACAGCAAAAGTATTTGTGCAACAGCAGCTAATTTCACGTCACTCCAATTACCGCCAAAGAGAGCACGTCTCTTTGGCACAAGGGGGCCGAGACAAGTTCCTGGATGGAGCTCCGACTGTTCTCCCTTAAAGCTGAGCCTTATATGGCTGTTGTCATTTTGCTGGAGAAATGCAGAGGTCCTTCTCATACCTTTCCTCGCTGAAAAGTCCTGTTGG